ATGATTTAGACATGATGGTTTACTCAGTGTTAATTAGTAGAATATAAGCTTGTTTGAGAAAAATTGTGCAAATGACATCAGATTTGATAGATAAAACTAAGTGTGTGAAGATGACTGGTGTGTTTTTGTTGTGTGTGTGTATAAGCGATGGCACTGATGGAGTGTGTGTGTGTTCAGGTAACGGAGTTAGCCCGACTCAGCAGAACGGGGAGAGAGAAAGACAGTCGACCCTCCCCACGATCCCCAGCCGCAAGAGCAAGGACATTCCAGTGAGTCTGACTGCTCGCATTACTGCAACCACTTCAGCTCGGTTTGTTTTCTTTTGTTTATTTTAAATGTCTCTCCCTCAACTGTTTCAGAAACCCATCAGTAACGGCCTGCCTCCAACTCCTAAAGTGCATGTGAGTAAACCACCTCTTTCTCATTCTCTGGAATGTGCGATCTGACTCCACCACACATGCTTACTTTAGACCAAAAGTCTGGAAGTGAGCAGTATTTTTTTTTGTTCATTCGTTTTAAGATTCAGAAATAGTTTACCAATAAGTACCTTTGCAAACAGCCAATAAAACACGTTTGACATCGATAATAACTAAAGCATTTTGTATTCCATATTCCAGTATATTGCTCTCAGACTTTTGGCATGTAATAGTGATACACTTAAATGAAAATTCTTGGCTGAAACCGAAAATTAGGGTGCCAGAAAAAAGCTGATCATAAATAAAAACTTGTTTACCAAAAATACATTAACTAAAATGATTACAGTATGTAGCCTACCGTATGTGCTATAAAATCCAATACCCCAAACAACAGAGAACGGCTGATCATGCAAGGCGATGAATTCCATTAAGTGACACCTTGTTTGGCAGTCTTTTGTGAAATTTTTTTGTCATTTCATAAGAGGCTACAGATGATGTTGGCATGTAATCATTACTTCTCATTTCTCTTATCTTTTGAATTATTTGTAAAGTCTTAGATTCTTAGATTCATTTTAGACCAGTTTAAACCTTATTTATTTTGTTCACCTTTGACGAAAACCAAAGGTGCCAATTATGTGCATCTCTATAATGTAATTATAAAATTACTTAATATTTGATGTTGTTGTTATTTACATAATCAGCACTATCAGACAATTACAATGTTTAATCATGATTAATTGGCTTTTATTGTGTACTTTTTTTTTTTACTTAATTGAGATTAATCCTGTTAGTGTGCTATGTAGTTAATCCTCATCAATTGCATGTATAATTTGTTCAAATTTTACCGTGAATAAATATTTTTTTCCATTTAAAAGAGCTATGTGAATGGACAAAATAATCTTCGCCCAAATGTATTCATTACTTTTAATAAGTGCATAACGTTATTGGCTTATGGATGCTTGTTACAGTGAAGGCTCACAATGGGAACTGGAGCGCCACTTTGCTTTTGTTAGTTTGCTGCTCATTGATTTATCCATAGACCTCCTGCAAGCACTGTGCAGTGTAACCTGTATTTAGGAGCCATATTTGAACGAGAGGGCTACAATCGCAGTTTTTATCACTGCTGCATACGGTGCACTGCAGCTGGGCTTCAGCCTGCAATACTGAAGGTGATTTGTCCTACATACATGCTCTCTCTAATTCAGTTGTGTGTGTGGTTTGTTTTCTGTAGATGGGAGCATGTTTCTCTAAAGTATTCAATGGCTGCCCGCTGAAGGTCCACTGCGCTACGTCCTGGGTCAACCCAGACACCAGAGGTAGGACACACAAGTCTGAAATTAATAATCCAACAGATTAAGAGACCCTTATTAGTCCCACAACGGGGAAATTTCACTTCCGCAATCTAACCCAATCATGCAGTTAAACGCCACATACACACTAGAGAAGACACACACTAGGGGGCAGTGACCTTCGAGTCCCAAGGCTGGTTTCCTAACCTCCAGCCCACAACGCCACCTGGACTGTTAGATCCAAAATCAGCATAACCAGCTCTTTCTGTTGCAGCAGCTCTGTCATCATTCTCAGCCGTTGTATATTTTTGTTACTTGTGGTTTTAGGATTTGAATAACAGTCCAAATTACTATTCAAAGCGGTGCCTCAGGCCAAATAATGAAAAATTCAAATAATATGCACACCCAGCATTCACACAATCCCTTAGAAGTAGAGTTGTTATTGACATTTTGCTTTACATTTGATTTACATCAATAATTGTTGAAGTGTCGATAATATGCTACATTTTGTGTACATTCTGTATGGACAGGTCCAAATTCTGGCTTAATATTTGATTGAATAGTTCTCAGTCATTTATGCATTTATGTACCGGCACATGATTACCAGATTAACATAACTCTGAAGTCACCTACATGCTGATAATAGAATAGCTGTGAACGTAATGACATTTTCAAGGATTTTGACTTGTCCCTAAATTTTTGATTGATTGTGGTCATATGTTAGATCAGTATTTGATTTTTGGAGCTGAAGAAGGCATCTACACTCTCAACCTGAACGAGCTCCACGAGGCCGCCATGGAACAGGTGAGAAGCTGCATGTAAAAGTAGTCTGATTTTTGACAGTTTTCAGTGGGGGTGGTGGTTCTTTTACAACTTATATACTTCTATATTATAAGAAAAAAAAGGTGCCACAGATGCAATGCCATAAACAAAAGACTGGAGGAAAGAAAGGTGGACAGAACACCTTTCTTGATATAAAAAATAGCATTTGAAACTTAATAAAAACACTTTTATAAGGGTTGATTGCCTGCTGCAACTTTGTCATTGTGCAGAGTACAGGTACAGAGCCAATGAAATGCAGTTAGCATCTAACCAGAAGTGCAAAATACAATGTTATTTACATATCAAGTGCAGAAAGACAGTAGAGTGGTAAAAAAAATATAGATATGCAAGTATAATATAATATACATATGTACAGAGTGAAGGGAGAGCATACAATGTAGGTAATATGTACTGTGAGAGCAGCATATGTAAAAGATAAGTATGCAGAGTAAACGTGTACAGTAACTGTTGGTGTAAATATCAATAGTGCAGTAATGGACTGTGCAAATATGAATTGTGCAATAATACTAGGACATAAAGTACAATAATAGTGAAGCGAGTGCAGTGATGCCATTAAAGTGGCGGTGTGGAGTTCGGCAGGGTCACAGCCTCAGGGAAGTCTATGGTTGGATTAGAAATGTCCTTGATGATGTTCCTCACCCTGCCCAGGCAGCGCTTATGGAAAATGTTCTTAATGGAGGGTAACTGGGCCAGTTAATGTAGCTGACAAGTAGAGGACGCTTATGTACACCTGTTAGCAGTGGGCAGACTGCATGCCTAAATCATCACATGCTTGCCTCAAATTGTGTCAGGTTGTTAAGTGATCTAAAGCGGATTTATGATCATGTCCATACTTGTCCGTTGTGTCCAGTGCAAAACTAAACCAACAGACTTTATTGACTTAATTTGGGAAAACGGTAGGGGGGATGGAAGATATGGCAGAAATATGCACATCACCTTGTTTCAAGACATTTTCACGGTACATATAGGCATCATAATATTGTTTGCCTGATGTTTGATCAGACTAAAGCACAGTAAATCCACATTTAAAATAATAACAAAAACTATGAAAACTGATTTTTATTCTTAACGTTTCAAATCCTGTGTTGCACTCAGTGCAGTTAAACATGACTAATTATGCTTTCATTGTACTGAAACATACAGTTGGTCAGTGTTCCTGAAGTTCTCATGATATCTGTGATACATTTAGAAAAGCATGAAAGCAATGAAAATAATTGTTTTGCCCACGTCTAGAAAACTGCATTTTCAGACTGCTTTTTTTGTTTGTTTTTCCTCAGATATTTCCACGGAGATGCACATGGCTATACGTTATGAACAACTGGCTTCTGTCTATATCTGGTAAGATTCACTCACTAGTAAACCATTATAACTAAAAAGACATAGAGTCAATGAAAAGCAAGATGGAGAGAGAGAGTTTTTGCTTGGAGGCCAGAAATTAAAGGGCCCATATCATGGAAATATGAATTTCAGAGTTTGATGTACTTCGTAAAAACTGTTAAAGTTTCATAATGTGCCTTTTACTCCCCAAGCCATACATGTAAGTTCACACATGTAAACTAAGCTCCAGAAACAGCCTGTTTTGGATTTATTGTTTCTGTGACGTCACAAGAACCACCGCAGTGGTTACACTTGTTCAGCCTACAACTTCTTTCTATTTTTCGTAATCTTACTTTACATTTTTTTTAACGATAATTGAACTATCCTAATAGTAGGATTTAATTTCTAATTCGATTTTTAATTTAATGATTTTCTCTTTTTAATTTGTTTTGTGTTTTATGTTTTTAATGTTTTTAATTCTGTTTTTCTGTTTGTGTTTACTTTTTTAAACAACTCTGCATTTTCTGACTCCGTATTTTCCTGTTTGTAAAGCTCTTTGAAAGACAGCAGTGTATGAAAGGTGCTATATAAATAAACTTGCCTTGCCTTGCCTTAGAGCAGTTTAGCTCCACCCATTAAAGCTGAAGTTCTAAGAAGTCCTTTTTGAATGAGGCACAACACAGAGCAGCCAATCAGAACTGAGCTCATATATCCTAAAGGTAGAGTAACCATGAACCAGATAAATAGACACTGGAAAATGGTCATTATGGATTATGACCATTTTTGGCATATAAAGCCACACAGATTTTGACCTTTAAGGGAAAATGTAAGTACAGGAAATTTGTAGGATATGTGCCATTTAAGTGTGAGTGATGTGTTAGTCAGCATAAATGAACCAGCATATCAGCATGTAATGTTCAATGTGACATTATTTCTACTGCTTCTGTAAAACTCGTCAATCGAAATCATTGTTAGCCTGGAGTGGACAGCGTCAGTGGCCCAGTTGTGTTAACTGAGAGCTGTGTTTGTGGACATGTTTGTTTTTTGCAGGTAAAGCCTCCCAGCTGTACTCCCACAACCTGTCAGGCCTCTTCGAGCACGCTCGGCAGATGCAGAAGTTACCGGTTGCCATACCCACATATAAACTGCCTGATAAAATCATCCCCCGGTATGTTCAGTGTTCATCCAGATGTTTTATGCAAAGTGTCATTTGAAGTACAAAATGAGTTTTTTTGGGCAGAATTATTACATGTAAAGCTAGCAATATTTTTCGATGTAAGAAGTTGATTCGGAAGCTGAGGCCTCTCTGCTGTACCTACTGCCTTTTCTGTCTTTATCATTAAAAATTGCATATTAAATTATATCGAGCCTTACCTTTACATGCTTACATAATTTTTACAGCTGTTCTAGTGTCAGTGCTACTTGTTTACAACTTGGTTTATTATTCCCACACTGTTAAACTGGGTAGCGCTGTCGCTTCACAGCAAGAAGGGCCTGGGTTCGGTTCCCCGGCTGGGTGACCAGGGGTCCCTTTCTGCGTGGAGTTTGCATGTTCTCCCTGTGTCTGCATGGGTTTCCTCCGGATACTCTGGTTTCCTCCCACAGTCCAAAGACATGCAGACAAGTTAAAATTGCCCCTAGGTGTGAATGTGTGTATGGATGTATATTTCTGTTTGTCTGCCCTGTGATGGACTGGGAACCTGTCCAGGGTGTTTCCTGCCTTCCGCCTAATGGCCTCTGGGATAAGCTCCAGCACTGATCTCTATAAAGCACATTCATTGCCAGAAATATTGAGGCCCATAATTAATTTTATTACTTTATTAATAAAGACCTCAAAATTGTTTGTTTTACATTGTCAAATTAAGGAAATCAAGCATTTATTGAAGCATTTGTGTTGTTGTCCTATAGGAAGTTCACAGTGTCCAATAAGATTCCAGACACAAAGGGATGCCAGAAGTGTTGTGTAGGTGAGTCAACTTTAACATTAATTACATTAACTTAATAACAGTAACTTTTACCATTAATTAATTGTTTGATGCGAAGCTGATCTGCAGATGGTTGCTTTAAACTCAGGCATAATTATGAAAAATAGTTAACACATGCATGTGTTAAATTAATGCTCTCTAATGGTAGCTGTTTTGCTGTGTGTGTGTAGTTCGTAACCCATACACAGGGCACAAGTACCTGTGTGGTGCATTCCAGTCCAGTGTAGTTCTGTTCGAATGGGTGGAGGCCATGCAGCGCTTCATGCTGATCAAGGTGGGGACCTTGTAGTGTGTGTGGGATTCATGTGTGGGATTATGGCACAAATTTTTTATTCTTTCCTTTTGTAGTGTGTCATTGCTGTCGTATTAAAATCTTGTAATTCCAGTTTTTTTATTGCGTAATTTCAAAAAAACCTTAGGTCTTCCATGTGGAAATTTCATGATAAATGGTACAAAATTGATTGGAATAAAATCTTGTTAAAAAATTTCTAAAAAGTTGGGACAGTGTGTGAAATGCTAATATAAACAGAAAGCAGTGATTGCAGTGATACCAAAACACGTTACTTGATGTTTTACCTTTTCTTTTTTTTGGTAAATATGTGCTTATTCCAAAATCTGATGCCTTATAACACGTTCCGAAAAAAAACAGGACAGGAGTATGGTACATCCCCTTTCCTTTAGCAACACTTAATTGTTTAGGGACTGAACACATGAGTTGATCCACTTTTCACCCGCGTTTTCATGGAGAAACAGCTCTGGACTGCAGGCTAGTCTGTCACCCTACGCAACAATGCTGTTGTAACATGCACAATGGGTCTTGCCATAAGCATGGACATCTCTGAAAAAGACGTCATCTGGAAGGCTGCGTATGTTCAAAATATGTATTTATCTTTCAGCATTAATGGTGCCTTTACAGATGTGCAAGTTACCCTGTAATACACCCTAGTACCACGACAGACCATGTTTTTGAACAATACTCTGGTAACAATCTGGTTAGTCCGTTTCTTCTTTGGCACAGGGATCACGGTGTCCATTATTTCCTGAAATAATCTGAGAGGTCGACCCATCAGACTACAATGCCCAGAGAAGTTGATGGCAATTCTAGACATTAACAAATGGCTTCCACTGTGCATTGTACAGTCTTGACTTGCATTTGTTAAGTCAAAGAGTAGTCATTAACATCTGTTTGTCATAAGTATTTCCTTGTAGTGATATCCAGCAGTAGAACTTGTGGGTTTTTTTAATGCAGTGCTGAGGAATCGAAGGTCACAGACAATGAACTGTGGTTTTTGGTCTTGCCCTTTGCACACAGAGATTTTTCCAGATTTTTTTTATGCACAGTAGAGAGTGAAATACCTAAAGTGTGCAATCGCTTATCGAGAAACGTTGTCATTAAACTGCTAGAGTATTTGCTGCTGTATTTTTTTTGGCAAAGTGCTGAGCCTTAAATTGCCCCGTCCCAACTTTTTTCCATCTCCTGTAAAGTTACCATTCCAAAGTTTTATACGACAGCAATGTTATGTTTGATAGTAGGACTACAGACCTGTTGTGTGTTTGATAGTAGGACTACAGACCTGTTGTGTGTTTGTGTGCGTAGAGTATAGACTTCACGCTGCCTTGTCCGCTGGAGGTGTTTGAGATGCTGGTGGTCCCGGAGCATCAGTACCCACTGATCTGTGTGGCCGTCAGTAAGGGCAGCCAGCCTGACCAGGTGGTGACCTTTGGCACGGTGGACCCGAACGCTCCCGTACCCACCTTCACTGAACCTGGTACAAACTGCTTTATACATGTGTGACCTCACAGTGTTTCAGCTACAGTTAATTAGTGCATCTTAAAATCTTAAATTTCCCTGTGATTGAATTTGATTCTTTTTGAAAATATTCATAAATGGGTCTTGAAGAAGTATTTAGATGGTAGTGGAATATAGACAATAAAATTCAAGAACCACTAAAGAATTTTATCATCATTTTATCATTCATCAAAAACAACTTTAATAAATATTACTATAATTGATTATATTTGATTCTAAATTATTTTGAATTGGGGCTGCCATGATGATGAAATTTTAGATGAACTGTCATCTAAATAATTTTCTTGTTCTTTTCTTATTGTTTGTAACTTTTAAAATACAATCATAAAGTGACCAGCCTTATTTGCTAGGTGTGTTTACATAGTAGCTAACACTGGTGATACTGTCAAACCAATACTGCGAGCACACTCACAAACATCTACAGTTACAGAGTATCGTGTGTAGAGTTAAGCAAAGCTACATGTTCTTCACCAGAGTGAAAATATAAGCAAAAAATATTCATTCTCCTAGCAAACATGTTAAAACATTACATTTAGCTACATAGCTAACAAGTAAACGTCACTCAGTGCTGCACGGTAAACATACTTTTATTTACCTTTTATAGTTTCTCTGGTGTCTGTGGTTAAAAAATAAATAAAGAACATGACTGATAATGGTGATGACGATGATGATGACATGATGACGTCATTTGCTTTGTTATGTGTTTCCCGTTGATCAAGTGTATTTATGCTGTCATTTCTATTTAGACACGCCACAGACGTGTGTAATCCACGTTACTCAGCTGGAGAGAGACACCATACTAGTCTGCTTGGATCGTAAGTATGAATTACTGCTGTGTTTGTGTAGCAGACCTCAACAAGGCAGGGAAGGTAGATCAGAACAGTTTAAACAGCCACACCACACACAGGGATATGGAGCTCTGTGTAGTTAATTCCTGAACACTGAACACATGAGGCTTGGGGCAGGATTAGTGCACATGCGCAGACGCGCTCTCTCTCTCGCCCGTTCAGCGTTCACAATGCTTTTGACGATTGAACACACAGTGCGCAGGCATTGTGTTGCACTAATTAATGCCCCACCTACAACCAGCAAAAGGGGAACCCCATAGGAACCAACACATTGAAATTAGTTGGAAACTCAGATATTTCACAGTAATATTCACTTATTCCACCATGACTCTCAGTAAAGCTTTAGTGAAGTTCACAATAACTGCAAAATAATCAAATACAATAAGAAAATAGTCAAAATCAGTATTATTATGGCTACATTTGCTTAAGGCGTAGGTTTAAGCTTATACAGTTTCAGTGCACAGGGTGTAAAGGTTGTCTTTTTATAGGTTTAATATGTTTGTGTGTGTGTGTGTATGTGTGTGTGTGTGGACTTTCAGGATGTATAAAGATGGTGAATTTACAAGGCAGGTTAAAATCCAACAAGAAGCTCTCTGCTGAACTCACCTTCAACTTCCAGATTGAAGCAATAGGTGAGCAAAACTGCATTTGTTTATTTGTGTGGTAGTGTACAGACATCCCTGCTGCCATGGTGCACCATAAAATATGTGCATGACTGTATATTTATTTTTTGATTTGATTGTTTTCCGTCTATTTCAGTTTGTTTGCAGGACAGTGTGCTGGCCTTCTGGAGGCATGGGATGCAAGGACGCAGCTTTAAAACCAACGAGGTGGGTCTGAGGCTTCGTACTAGGTTACTCTGGCTGTTTATAGAGTGTTATAGTGAATTTTGTTCTTAAAGGGGAATACCACCAATATTTGAAAATTTTTGCAGAATTTAATCGTTCAGTCATTCACAGTGGTTTAATGTGAAATGCCTCATTGTAGAAAAACCTACCAACTCAGTGGTAAGTTTACAGTGGTGGTGATAGGAGTCAGGGTTTGTTTGTTACATCTTTAAACAAATATAGCCATTTTAGTTTATATATAGTATTTACTGTTTTTTTCCTTTTGGTACTGTTCTACCTTACATTGCACTGCATCTACATCTTCATCATAAATGTTTTTTAAAAAAACATTAAAGCCAAAAGCTTATCTCTAAACTATGATATTGTTTTTTTTCAGCCAACAGGCAGCATATTTATAACCATTTTGTGTAATAACTTGCTGTGAGGGTGTTTTTAGAGGCATTAAACTGTTAAGACGTCTGGTTACTACCACCACCACCGTGAGCAGTTGTGACTTGAAAATGCTCTGTGCTCTAGAGCGGAGCATTTCACATGAAACCAGTCTGACTGACTCTTTCCTTAACCACTTCTTAAAGGTTTAATTATGCAGAAATTTAGAAAAATCAGTGGAATTCCCCTTTAGGTTTTCAATTACACATCTCTTTGCCTTAAGCAAGATGCATGAAGTCACCTTAAACTCCATTTATCTTAAATATACTTTGTGGAAATCTTTAAGTAAATTTAGTTTTAGCTTACCTTTAGCTGAAGTTTTTCATTTGTGTCACTTAAAGCAGACTTCTTGACTTTGTCCTTCAAGTATTTAACATAAACATCTAAGACATTTTCTGCAGGCTGGTCTTTAAATTGTGTTTCATTTTTTTATGTTGAGGATGTGGATGCATTTTGCTGTACATTTTCAGTGTAATTACATAATTACACAGTGACTTATGTAGCTACATAATGAACAACATTTTAATAGGTCCAAGAAAAATATAGTAAAAATGGTTAAAAAAACAAGACTAATAAAATATCTCCTCTACTACTGACAAACACGAATGTGGTACGGATTGAAAGTTTAGAATCTACACTTTCCACACAATTTTTACAGCTGATTCAATGAGCTACAAGAAAATTAATACCAGATTACATCTGGCTTCTGTTGACAACAACTGAGACTTCTGAGTTTAAAGTTTCTGGTTAAAGTGGGCAGCAGGGTGGTGGTCCCAGAGTTTTGTGTGAGCGTAGCTGTGCGTTTGAATGTGTTTGTAATAAACGTTCTCGCTTTCTTACTGCACCAGATCACGCAAGAGATCTCGGATAACTCGCGCATCTTCAGACTGCTGGGATCAGACAGGTAAGAAAATGACACTGATAGTACTGCAGAACACCTGCTGTACACATTTATAGGGCTGGCCCGAATAGCGTTTTACAGGCCATCGAATATTTATTGGTATTTCTAAAGGAGAGCTCGAATACTTGTTCTCAAAATCACCCATGAAAACAATATTATGTATTAAAAGCCCTAAATCATAGAAAAAATACTTTTTTTAAATTAAGGGTTTGATGTGTGTTAACATGGTTACACATGGTTTCAAACTGTTTCATTCACATAAGCTGCAAAAACAGCCCATTTTGAATTCACACTTTTACCTATAATGACATATTCAGCCTTCAGCAGTTTAGCCCCACCCTAAGGAATGCTTCAGGAATTTCTATAAGGAATGCTTCAGCCCCTCAGACTGCTTTCTAAATAAGGCACAATACATGTGGGATATGGGCCCTTTAATGTATTAACAGTGTATACCAGCGCAAATGATCTGAATCCGTTATGGTGTAAGGCTGGCCTACCAAGTGGTACTCTGAAGTGGTGTTACTATGTACTCTACCAAGAGGTCCTCAAAAAATATCACTATACTTGTACATTTGAGACAATTCATCAAATTTCTCCTGCCTCCATGGTATACTAGCCTTATTAAAGAGCAAAATTAATAAAAACAATTCAGGCAATAGTGCAAAAAAATATTTTGCATTTGTTAAAATGAAACGTCTTTTCTTATTGTAATAGAATATTCAAGATAATATTTAATAGAATATGCAAAAATCAAAAAAATTTGATAGTTGCAGCCCTGCTAGCTACATGAACATTTACAATTGTGTTGTACATATAGAGCAAAAATTAACTAGATACAATTTTTATATCCACCAGTGCTGTGATGCTTTCTCTGTAGTGTTTAAAGGCAGTCAGATAGCGTCCAAGCTCTCCAGCCCATAACTTAAACTTGAATTAGTCTGAACTAAAAAATTACTACACCACCGTGTAGTGTAGCAATACAAAAAAAGTTCTTAAACTTCCTTTAGGATGGTTTAATTTCTGCTGAATCCTTTCATCAATGACACTCTGGCAGTGTGTTGGTTAAAATTAAATGGAGTTCAGAAAACCCGGAGCTGTGCATCACTGGTGGAAAGCAGCACGGTTTGTTGCGCTCTGAGGCGAGGTGATGTGAATACCTTGCATTTATGATGTATTCAACTAAACCAGCTATAACTTACTTATAACATTTTCAATCTATTAACAATATTCTGTCTAAAGGCCTTTGCTGATTAAATATATTGTAGTTTATACTGCAAATACTGCATATTGAAATGTGTATGTACGTGTCTTTGTGCATTGACAGCAATACAGTCCACTCCACAAATGCAAAAATTGCTATTCATTGTTAGCTATATTAGCATTTTTGGATGAATTATTCCTTTATGGATGTTTTATTATGTTTTTCTTAATTGAATAAGACATTCCTCAGTCAGTGTTACCCTGCAAGTGTGTATATATGGAACTCAAATCTTGGGATGATGATACTCATTTAGTACACATGAAATTAGACTCCGTACACAGTACATACTGTTACATAAGGATGTTTTTTTGACTGCAGGCCTCATAAACAAGAACTGGGAACCGACGGTTCTAGTTCTGGTTCATTTTCCACCTAATTGAAAGACGTGTAACCATCATAATACCCACGATTATTTATTTTATTGTTGTTTTGGTTATTTTATGCCCATCTCAAGTGTCTCATTTGGAAAATAGGCTACTATGCTTGCTAGTTATACTTAGCTTAGCTTATTGGTTGATATGAAACTTTACATGATATTTTGCACCCTTCACTACTTATATGCTCACACAAATGACAACAGCTACAAAGAAAAGGCATTTACTGATTAAAATTATTGTAGTTTAAGCTGCAATTTTTGTTGCTTAACCTCTTATTCACCAGGGTATATTTTGGTTTTTACATTTGAATTTACATGACCAAATCGTAAGGCAAATTATTCAGTAACTGCATGAAACAAATGTCAATTTTTATTTTATTTATTTTTGTAAAGCTCCCCTCAAATTAACAGAACATGTTTTATGATCACACATATTGCTATATGCTTACAAATTACTGCTGAAAGCCAAAAATCTTAGACGCTCTTTGTATAGTTCAGCTTCTTTTATTATAAGGGTTTGATATTACATTACTCATCTATTTGACTGGAAAGGAGACGGTTACAGCTCTCATATGACACCCACCTTTTGAATGTAGCTTATGAAATATGAAAGTTATGAAGAATATGACAAAGTGCGTTTTGGAAACACCTGTGGTCCCAAGGAGCTGGAAAAGTTAAAAAAGACAAAGCTTCCGAATGCAATATTAATGTAAATAATGAAAAAAGCTAGACACAAATACCAACTTAACGAGCGCATACAATTAGTAAATTATGCACATTATCAGGGCCAGCCCTATACATATACAGCACACTACTGGTGCTACTGAATATTGAACCTAACATGCATGTATGTGTCTTTGTGCATTACAGGACGGTGGTGTTGGAAAGTCGACCGACAGACAACCCCACAGCCCAGAGTAATCTGTACATACTCGCAGGCCATGAAAACAGCTACTGATCACGTACACGCTCATTCGCACTCTCAACGGCATTCCACAGCCAGTCAACATAAAAACTACATCCCCAGCCATGTGTATAAGCTATGTGTGTGCACGTAGACATTCCTATAAAACCACACGTCCCTCCATGTGCAACCAGCCATTCTACTAAACTGCTGTAACACTACAACTCAGCCACAGATAAACACTACCAGAACCTAATCAGCATCAGGAGAAAGAGGAAATAAAGCAAACTCACCCGCTGCTCTGCTCGACAAGCACTACAACACGACTGTACTGTACGCAACAGCAACGGGACAGTTGTTGTGTCACAACGAAACAAACAAGATTGCCTATTCATTTATTTATTGTGGCATGCTACGGAGATGCAGACGGCATCCTCTTTTTAGTTTTTAGGTTTTTTGTTTTAAACGTGTCACCGTTCCTGCTTGCAGCCTTTCCTTGTCCTTTTAGAGCCAGAGGAGCCGATGGTCCAACTTTTGTGTCAGGGGTCCATAACGACTCTGTATTCACTTTCTCAACAGAGCGTAACTTCTGTGTGGGTATTTGTTATTGCATTGTAACGATATAATGATATGCTTGTGAATTAATGCATTTTACAATATAAGAACATGTACTTGCATAGAAGTTACAGTATGCTAGCATACCTATGTACATACTTTGGTTAATCGGACACCTGGTAAGAAGCAGGACCACGTGATTAAGTCCAAGTCCTCATATGAACCATTCCAGACTTAAAGGAAAACTTCATCCAGGATTGTTAATGTTGCTAATAATCTGTGAAACAAGGCAAGTGAGAACATGCTAACTGATGCCTATTTGCCATTTTATATGACTTATTTATATTTAACAAGATGGCCTGCTTTATTTATGAATTATGTAATGATTTTGGACTTGTTCATGACAAGTTCCGTCTGAGAGGGGCCTTTTTCTCAAATCTAATTAGTATAAAACTACAACTCTTGCTACTTAAACACTAAAGTCAGTGTGCTGTTAATGACAGCAACACAATTCACTACACAAATGCAAACATTGCTATGAATTGTTAGCTATATTAGCATTTTTGGGTGAATTATTCCTTTATGGCTGTTTGTATTATGCATTTTTAATTAAATTAGATATTCCTCAATCAGTGTTACCCTACAAATGTGTGTATATATATATATATATATATATATATACAGCTGCCAAATGGAACTCAAATCTTGGGATGATGATACTCATTTAGCGCACATGAAGTCAGACTCCCTACACAGTCCATATAGTTACATGAGGGCATTTTTCCACTGCAAGCCTCAAAAACAAGAAATGGGAACCTACGGTTCTAGTTCTGGTTCATTTTCCACCTAATTGATAGACAGCTGTAACCATCATGATTTCCTTGAAATGAATTGTCCTTTTGGTTGTTTTGTGCCAATCTCAAGCGTCTAATTTGGCAAATTAGCTAGCATCCTTGCTAGTCATACCGATTTTAACTTACTAGTTGATATGAAAAAATATACTGCACTCTCCACTACTTACATTCTCACAGAAATTTCAAGAAATACACAGAATCGTGTGTAGAACAAAAACTTATATATAAACGTGTATTTTTCTGTCAAGTGTGAAAATATGAGCAAAAAAGCTTGTTCTGTGGAAGCTAGCATTAGCATTAGCTAACTAGCTTATCTTAGAAAATTCCTAGAATAGCAATCAACACATCAACGTGCCATCCTAGTTTGCAGTAGCTGCAATGCTTGCTAGTTATACTTGGCGAAACTTATTTGTTGATATGAAACAATATACTGCACTGTCCACTTAAATTCTCACAGAAATGTCGAGAATTACACAGAATCGTGTGTAGAACAAAAGCAAAACATATTTTTCTGTGAAGTGTGAAAATATGAGCAAAAAATCTTGTTCTGTGGGAGCTAGCGTTACCGTTAGCTTCCTGACTAGCTTACCTTAGAAAATTCCTAGAATAGCAATCAACACATCAACAAACCATCCTAGTTTGCATTCTGGTGCACTTACTGGTCAAATAATAGTGCTTGGTGACTTTATTCTGACATGGAAGAGTAAAGAAATCACTAAATTGTTATTAGCTTTAGCTGCAAGTGTTAGCAAAGACAGAGAAGTACACTCTCATATCTCACTCTCAAGTATCATTAGTTCATGTTGGTCCCAATCTTGATCAGGTACCGAGAACCAAATCTGGAACCTTTGTTACTGGATCATTTGCCAATGGAAAAAGCACAGTTCCAGTTTTCTGGTGCTTGTTGCAGTGGAAAAACACCCAAAGTGTTCAGTTATGTGTAATTGACCAAGGTCAGATTTACTAAACTTTGGGATGATTAGTCGCCATTCCAAAATCTATCTAATATTAGATTTGTTCAGACAAAAATGTCTTATTTCATGTTTATCCATTCCGCTTTGTAAAACTTGACCAACTCAAATTGTTTCCTGAACCATACTGATTGTAGCCAGATTGTGTTACTTTGTATTAATCCTGTCATAGAGGATTTAGTCCAAACTTCAAGATAGCTGCCATAAACCCCGGCTTTAAATGCTGAAACGTTGCCATTTCATGTCCGAAGTTAACCTAGGACTGAACCACTGTCATATTGTTAAAAACCCATGGGCCAGTTCCACAGATTAAGCCTTATTCTTAACTACAAAAGGACTCAAAGGGAGAATTTCCATTCATGCTGTATTGTAGCTGTAGGCTAAACTCGAAAAAGCCTGAAGTCTGAAACAACCCGGTCCGTTTAGGTTGCTATTTAAGTCTTGCCTTTAAAAGAAAGAACAGAAATCAAATGTCACTTAATTCCACTTTAGCGTAAGGAATTTAGTTTTATTTATGGAAAGATGGATTTCAGATTTTGAAGTGGGATGGTTGTTTTTGTATTTTATTGCTTTTAACTGAAAGCCATGCCTCACGTTTGGATTATTTCGTAACATTACTAATCACTGTATTGAAAATTTGCACAGTTTTATACAGACTATAATGTGACATTCGCTGTTCGCAAGTGCATAGGTGTTTCGAAATGTACATAAAATGCAGTAACATCCGTGTGCATCGCTTCACACTACGGACATGTGCATTCGCACTCTTAAGCTGTGATGTCATTAAGAGATAGAATAGACGAATAGAGATTGCTGGGAAATAGTAGATGTAAAGAACATGATGACGAGGTACAGTACCGGTCAAGAGATGCACCTGTGAGGGGTTTTTCTTTGTTTTTTACTACTTTCGAATGATAGTGGACATCAACACTATGTAATATCACACATGGAATTACTATAATGGGAAATGTAGGCCTTCTGCTAAATAAGGTACAACACATCTGATTGGCTGAACACATTAAGAAGGACAAACATTCCACTAAGGCCGCGTTCACATTACGAGCCTCACTGCTTAATTCGGTTTCAATCTTTTTGACTTGATGATTCACGTTCGTGTGGGCAAGTGGCTTCTTTCTGTCAGTCTGCATCCAAGTCACGTAACGTGACGGTAATTATTCAGATGCATTGCTTCTGCAGCATTTACTGGGACTAAGTTCAGTTTAGGAACTTGTGCAAAAAAGTGAATTCTGATCTAGCCATTCTCATTAAGGTCACAAGCGTACAAATCAAGCATGTAACAATCTACACAGGGGGGAAAAAAGTTTTTTTTAGTTCAGCCTAATAACACTGAGTTTGTGTAACAAGCAGTTGAACAGGTTTTGTTCTGTTGACATTAAAATAGTATTATAAATACTAAAACAGTGCGAAACAAAATTTCAGTTTAGATAAAAAAGCAATATTAATTTACTTCAAACCTCAATAACATCTGGCCTCTACCACTTTTTACAGCATAGGACCACATATGAATGGATGCGTTCACATTACCAGACTGTGTGTGAATCTGATTTTTTTGTCCTAATATGCAAAATATTTTAGTTTAGATAAACAAACGCAATATTAATTTACTTCAGAACTTCAATAATATTTAACCGCTACCTCTTTTTTTTAATGTGTAGGACTACATATTAAAAGATGCGTTCACATTATCAGACTGAAGTAGTGTGAATCTGATTTTTTTTTGTCCTAATGTGCAAAACAAAATTTTAGCTTAGATAAACAGAAGCAATATTAATTTGCTTCAAACCTCAATAATATCTGGCTTCTAGCACTTTTTACAGTATAGGACCAAATAATAAAGGCTGCATTCACATTACAAGACTGAAGTAGTGTGAATACATTGTCCTAATGTGACACAGATTTGATGTTTTCAGAGCCATGTGGGCACACAAATCTGATCTTTTCAAATCAGATCTGAGCCACTTTCATATGTGGCCCTAGATCTGATACATATCCGATTCATGGCCACGTGACCTTAATGAGAATGCAGAGATCAGAATTTGGTTTTTTTTGTTTTTTTTTCACTGCATTTGTACCATCATTCATCATTAATGAGGCAGCAGTGCCTAACCTGAAGTTTAAATGAGTAAACACTGCAAAAGCATTGATCTGACCCTTTTTCGCCTTTATCTTGCTCTAATAACAAAACAGCTGAGAGTTATTTTCATGACGCAGGCTTACTCTGCTGGTTCGTTTGTTGTTCATGATGCATTTGATTAATTCATGTGATGTTATTGATTAGGCTTTGTGCATGCAGAACATTTCAGGACACAGGTTCGTTCACATTAATGGCAGATTTGAGTCACTTACATACACAGTGTGAACCATCGAGTTAAAAGATCGGATCTGAGCAAAAAATCAAGCAATGACTCTTGGAATGTGAATGTAGCCTTACAGTGTAAACCACATATGAAAGTGGCCCAGACCTGAATTTAGCAGATCACATTTGTGCATTCACACAGCTCTGAAAAAATCAGATCTGGGTCACTTTAAGGCAAAAAAATCAGATTTGTGCAGCGTCAACTGATGTGAACGTAACCTAATAAATTCTTAATGAGGCTACTTTGTAATTCAGACAATTTAATGATTGTGATTCAAAGTTTTTAACTGTAAATTTAGCTAAACTGAGCTTTTAGTGCAAAATGTTGTTGATTAGAAACAACAAACATTTAGCTTGGTGTGTCCAGACTTTTGGCCTATACTGTGTGTCGATCTCTGACACTTTTGTGAGAAGAAACAATGCAGTGTCTTGCTGATGCAGTATGTGTAAATATGAGAGAACTCGGAGAACTCTATCCAGTGTGTAATCACTTCTTTATCGTAATGCATTCCCCTTAACCCAGAGAGTTTATTATCGTGATTACTGAATGTTCACTTTTTCAGGAATGACAAAATAATGTCTTGTTGAAGGGCCTAATTTAGCGATTGAATTTGGGCTGCTTCTTCAGGTTCGGTGAGTAACCCAGGGCTAAAATATTTTAATGCAGTTAACGTTCATTTCAGACTGTGTAATTTAGCAGATGATGATGACTCAAGGCTGCATTCTGTAAGATTTCATTATCTTGCTCTGTTCTGCACTGGGCCGCTTGTGAGGACAGATTAGGACTTGCTGTACATTTTCCCTACAAGACATTCCACATTACCAGTCAAAACATGCTGGGTGAAGTATTTTACACACACTATGGCCAGAATGGGTTTTTAACCCTTACAAGTCCAGTCATTTTTGTTTTGCTATACTTTTTACCTGTAATTACACAGTTACATAATCAATTGGATAGTTAGTTACATAATGAATTTATATGTACATTCAGTTATTCAAACATTGGATTAGTAACACTTTATAACAACAGGCCCTGATAAACAGCAACTTAAACATTCTCTCTTCTATGAACGATTTACTTAGTACCAATAATCTTTATCTTTTTAATTGTATAAAAATTAATTATAGCTTTTTCATAAAGATTAATTTCACACTAATAATACCATAAAAACAATTCAAATTTGATCAAATTGAACAACTACTTTGTTGATTGGCTACATCCCATTTTAAATAAGTAGCTAAGTTGTTTTTTATTATCTTGCAACTTTGTGGTACTTTTCTCTTAATACTTAGTTTAGCATGATTAAATGGTAAACATATACATAAAAAAAATTAATTGGACCTCTGTTAAAGTTGTGACTGATCTTTATTATGAATTTATACATATTTATATCATAAATATAATACATTTATAAAAAGTATTTACAGTGCTTGAATCAATTCCATGCAACTAAGTAAAATGGATAAGAGCACAAACTTCTGCACATAACTATAGCTGCATCTATGAATGTGTAAGAACAATAATATAATTATTAATCATTGTTAATAAATGTTTAGATAGTTATTAAGTTGTGTTTTATAGGGACCTGTTATTATAAAGTGTTACTAATGGACTTTCTAAACTATGACATTTACTTTTTCATCAAATTCAAACCATAATAAAACATCTCTACTGTTTACAAACACAAATCTGGTAGGGATTGAATATTTAGAACCTGTACTTTACACAAAGGTTCTGTGCTTGTTTCAACAAACTGCAAATAATAAATAATAATTGTTATCAAATTACAAACCTCTATAGGTTAATGCATTTAGTTTCAGCCTTTCAGAATGCAGCTTTCGTCTCGCAGCAGTGTTGTGTAGATTCATCTGACTGAGTCGTAGGTTTGGATTCACTCAGTCCAGCACGTGGTAATGAAAAAAACCAACGAAACGTTTTGTCGGCTGCATTAACATATTCGATTCACACTGCAATGCACATGACCTGTAAATAGTGTAAAATAATATTTGGTTTTAAAGACTGTATAATCGTCTATATTTTGTTTCAAATGTGAAACTGATCTATGAGACTGAGGTAACACATTAAAAGAAAAGAAAAATCAACATTAAGTGGTCATTGTCCATCTCTGTGTCTTTTTTTGACCAAACAAATACAAACACACACATACTTGGGCTTTTTATTGTCAGTAATAAAGGTAGTATTACGTTTTTTAGTTATAATGTAATACTGCCCACATAACTAGTATTGCCTTCTATATTCATCAGCTATAGCTGAACATTATATCCTGACATTGTGACATCTTGACAATAATATTAATTTCTATATAAAGGTATGTACAGCATACCGATAGTACTGTATAATAGTAGTCTATTAGAGTACAGCCAAGGATATGGCCAATGATGTGACAGCATAATAAAAGTAATATATATTTGTGTATACATAGGTGGTGTTGTGTTCTCTTGGATGAACTTCAAACTTTTGTTGCTAAATAGGGGTGTGAAAATGCATCAAATTTGGATTGTTATCAATTATAACACAATTTACTAAAGTACAGTACTATGCCAAACTGTACTATGCTGAGACCACCCTTCATTTATTTAATTTACAGTGGAAATGGCCATTCAGTACAAGCGTCAACAAGCCGCAACAGCTAAACATAGCAACCTTTATTACAGCTTCCATTCTTTTCAGAAGACTAAGTTTTTCATAGAAATCTGCAGATATTTTTCCACACCTCCGAAGTTCAGTCTTAGAAGTTGTATTTTCTGCTTCTCACAATCCAAGTAATAACACACATGCACACGTTTTCTTACTCGCTTATCCTCCTGGGTGCTGGAGCCTATTAACGCTCATTGGGCTGAAGGCACTAAACACCCTGGACAGGTCGCCAGTCCATCACAGGGCATCCAAGTAATCCAAAACACCAAATTAAACGCTTCGTACACTTCACGCCACATCTCAGATTTCCAGTTTCAGTGTTCTTGTTTCTTCTTTTTTGTCTGTCTCCTTTTTTTAGTGAGGCTTCTTGACAGCTACACATCCTTTCAGACCCATAGCGCTGAGTCGTCTTCTCACAGTGGACGGATGAACAGAAACACCTGTGGATGTTTTCAGATCTGAAGCAGCTTGATTTTCTCCTCTCTCTCACAGTTGAAAGCTTTAAATGCTGTTTATCTGACGGGGACAGTTTTGGTGGCCTACCAGGTTGGTTGTTAGGAGTCCCATTTTCTCTGTAGCTTTTAATCATTTTTCAAACTTTTGGAAACACTTGATTTTTCACTCATTTTCCTTTGATCTTCTTCTTCCTTACGCAAGTGGATTATATCTAATCTCCTCAGAAATATCTTCTGAAATATGAATAACTTGTACTTAATGGCCTTTGACAGGAAATTAAATGAATGAAGTTCTCTTGCATGAATCTAAAAAAAAAGCTTTGTGCAATATTCTTTCACTACTGTGTAAGTAGTTCCTAAGTAGCTCAAGGTATTTTTACAAATAATTATTTATACCAGAATAATTTAATCAAATTGAGTCAAGGTGAAATGATGCAGTGAATTTTTAGAAATGTGCCCCAAGTTTTTGGACTGTATTTAACTCAGTCCCGTAGAGGGCAAAACACTTTTCAGTGTGTATTTTCAGACAGCAGTGCCTCGGTCGATGTCTCCAGGGTGGGCTATTCGGTTTGACCTGCCAGACTCCAGTTCACTGCTGCTCTGACCTTCAGACTTTTCAGTCGTCTTTTCTTTACTGTCCCCACTGGACCTGAGACACATACACCAAATGTAATATTAGTGGTGGATAGTATTTCATTTATCTTTTTATATATATATATATATATATATATATATATATTTTCAATGTCACTGCTGGACTGAGAATAGTCCACCAACCAAAAATATACAGCCAACAGCGTCCTGTGACCACTGATGAAGGACTAGAGGATGACCAACACAAACTGCAGCAGCAGATGAGCTATCGTCTCTGACTTTACATCTACAAGGTGGACTGAAAAGGTAGGAGTGTCTAATAGAGTGGACAGTGGGTGGACACAGTGTTTGAAAACTATATATATATATATATATATATATATATATATATATATAAAATGTTAAATTCGGCAAGTAAATGGAAATTAGCAGAGAAATGCCAGGGCTGCATGAACAGAATTTAATTTACAATATATTGTAATCACTCTTATGAAGAGATACAATGTAACATTAAAACCAAGTTTTTCTGAAGGCAGGCAAAACCCACAAACGTAAACATCTATGCAGAGATCTGAGCCCCATTCAAGCGTGCAAAGCTGTGGCGTAATCACTACACTTTTCACTCTTGTAGAAATCTTGTTCCTTAAAATAAAGAATAACTTATAGTAGCAAGTTATTAACACCCCTTATTGTCCATATGTCTGGGTGATGTGTAACAATAATTAGCATGATATTTACTAGTTAAAAAATCGCATATCGATATCGATAATATTGCCCACCTGCCCCACCCTGACCCCCCCTGCCCAGC